GGGGTGACAACGTGTCATGTCACATTGCTGTCTGTCTCGGTGACGAGTGACAACGTGTCATGTCACATTGCTGTCTGTCTCGGTGACGGGTGACAACGTGTCATGTCACATTGCTGTCTTGTCTCGGTGACGGGTGACAGGTTACAGGTGACATTGCATCTTATCATATATTGATAACTCATGTCACAGGTGGTTAGGGGTTGGTTAGGGTTAGAGGTAGGGCAAAAGTCAAGGTAAGAGTCAGAGACAGGGTCAGATGCAGAGTAAGCGTTAACGTTGGGGTTAGAGTTAGGGTGAGGGTTCAGGTTAGAGTAACAGTTAGGAAGAGGGTTAGGGTTAAAGTTAGGGTTAGAATTGTGGTTGGGGTTAGAGTTAGGGTTAAGGTTAGGGTTACAGTTAGGAAGAAGGTTAGGGTTAAGGTTAGGGTTAGAATTGGGGTGGGGTTAGAATTAGGGTGAGAGCTAAGGTTAAGTATAGGGTTAGGGTTAGAGTTCGGGTCAGGATTAGGGTTATGATTAAGGTTAGAATTCAGTAAGGGTTAGGGTTAAGGTTTGGGTTGGAGGTGGGGCTAGGGTGAGGGTGTAGCACTACCTGCTGGGTGGTGTTGAGGCCCGGCATGGGGATGGCCGTGACTTTTAGGTTCGATAGCTTGGTGCTGATCTGGTCCATCGTCAGTGCGAAGCTGCCTCGCTTCTGAGCCCTCTGCTGCAGCGTGTGATGAAGCTGCGAAGATAACATCAGGACCATCAATACAGCATCACTGCAAGCGTTGCCGCAGTTCACTCAATCTTTAGCTAAGCTGTAACAGCTGCCAGCCTGTTGCACAACGATACCTGTATGCACAACTACTATCTTGGCGAGCAGGTCAGCAGGTGTCTCTGCCATCAGCTCCCGCAGCACGGACGTCATCGTCTCCAGCGGCCACTCGCGTCGATTCTCCAGGTTCGTCACGCCCTGAAAGCAGCGCGACGCAAACCGTCACACGGGGGCGCCACCGAACACATCGTACGCGACGGTTTTATCGACGGTGATGAGGAGCTGGCAAGACCGTGTTACCGCGTTTATTATTGTACCATCGATAAATGAATAAATAAATACAGTAAATAATAATGATTGCTAGCAAGGCTCTGATTAGCAAACTAGCGTGAACAAGCGAGAATTTTAGTTCAGCACAAAGAGGAGTAATATTTGGGAAAAAGTTCCCAAGACAAGAAAAACAATAAAGAAGAAAATCAAGAAGCAGAAGAAGATGAAGAGTAAACCTGTTTTCACGTTAGAATGCTCCTCTTTGCATGTAGTCATTAGTCGCTCATAATTTTTTTTACATCAACATCACAATTTTGTCAATGGATTTACATCGTGAACGGATATCGTCGTGGCAAAACCAGAAACTAGTGACTAGTTACAATAACACATTAATGCCTGAGCCACAGTGCTGCCTAACGGCGTAAAACTACCACCACAGGCTAATAGCCTGCTTGTAATCACCCCCTCTATGCTATTCCTTCTCCCCTAAAACAATTCCTTCTGCCCTCCTCTCCCCCCTCCCTCTCTCTCCCTCCCGTGTTACACACCTTCTCCTTCAGTGCAGGCGTCAGCTTGTTGTAGTAGATCTCGCTGGGCCGGGGCACCGTCGGCGTCAGCTGCGAGGGGGCGCTAGCGTTCGCCTGCGCCCGCAGCACCTGCGCAACCGCCTCCCTCTGCTGCCAGCGCTTGTAGAGTCCGAACAGCGGCGTGGCGCCATCTACCCACTGGATGAGTCCGGAGCGCGGGCCGAGCGGGGTGACGGAGTAGTGGCGAGCCTGGTACTTGATCCTGCCGGCCCTGAAGAATGTAGATGTCTGCGTCAGCGTATGTAGGGATACGCCCTGGGCATGAGTGGGCATGTGTGTGTGAGAGGGGAGGTATGTGTGTGCGTGCACGTACACGCGCGTGCGTGCCCTGGAAGTAGATATTTGTGTGTGTGTGCGTGTGCGTGCGTGCGTGCGTGCTTGTGGAGGGGGTGCCCTAAATGTAGATGTTTGTGCGAGTGTGTGGGGAACTTTGGCACTGATGTATGTGCATGCGTGCGTTCATGCGTGCCTCGCATACGTAGCACCACGTAAAAGGCCACACACCATTTACCTGAGGACAGGTATCGTTTCCCCATGGCCAGGTATCGTTTCCCCATGGCCAGGTATCATTTACCTATGGCTAGATATCATTTTACCCATGGCCAGCTATCATTTCCCCATGGCCAGGTATCGTTTACCTATGTCTAGATATCATTTTACCCATGGCCAGCTATCATTTCCCCATGCCCAGGTATCGTTTCCCTATGGCCAGGTATCATTTACCTATGGCTAGATATCATTTTCCCCGTGGCCAGGTATCATTCCCCCATGTCCAGCTATCATTTCCCCATGGTCAGGTATCGTTTACCTATGGCCAGGTATAATTTTACCCATGGCCAGCTATCGTTTCCCCATGGCCAGGTATCGTTTCCCTATGGCCAGGTATCATTTAGCTATGGCTAGATATCATTTTATCCATGGCCAGCTATCGTTTCCCCATGGCCAGGTATCGTTTCCCCATGGCCAGGTATCGTTTACCTATGGCCAGGTATATCGCTCTCACCTG